GATCAGGAAACAGTCCTCCATAAAATGCGCTGGACACATCTGAATATTTGGGTTGTACGGTTCTGGAACAGTGTTGTAAATACAACTTAACCACTGATTTCTAGTTGTGTCCTCTTTTGGAAGGTCAAACAAAATAGTTTTGCTTTCACAACGAAACACACGGCGGGCTAGAATGAGCGAAGGCCGGAGGCGATTTGAGACTTTAGTCTTTGCAACTTTACAGATCTTCTTTATGCACCAAGAGCTGGTAACACTCCAAAGAGAAAGGAAAAATTTAAATCGCATCATATGACCCCTTTAATGTAAGTTTAAATATGAGATGAAAATACAAACAACAATAAAACAAATATTGTTGGCTTCAGGGTGCAGTAAATGCAAAATATAACACTGTAATGGGTCACATGAACATGAATCAAAACTGACCAAAAATCATTCAGTTACTTTTTTAAAGGTATTTCTCATCATTTATAAAAATATAAGCATCTCATTTTAAGGGGCATTAATTTTCTTCTAAATTCTTTTATCTCAAAGGGAGAAATTATCTATTTTCTTCACTTAATAATGAGGTTCTTTCCACAGGCCTCATACTGCACACATGCTAAAAATACCAAAGCTTACCTAGTCTTCAATCTCCCAGAACTGAACAAATAGCATTACGCATAAGAAAGTCACTGAACCTCAAGGTTTACAATTTACATCAGACATTCGTCCAAGGGATTTTGTCATTCAAAGATTTACATAAGTTCCATCACTCCTTCTGTTCTCCTCGCCCTATTTAAAAATAGAAACAGCTAGTAGGACGGTAGATTAATGGGTCTCCCTCCTCCGTTTGCCACTGATGCTGCAGTAGTTGAAAGGTCTCATCTTCATCTCCACAAAAGGGATGGAAAACTCATGGCCTTTCCAGTGATACCAGTTTATACCCTGCCGAAGTCAAACACATAATGTCAATACACAAACAGTCATTTTAACTATGATCTCATTAGCATTCATACTTGTAAGTATTCATACATGAAGAGTGGTTCTAGCACAGATACATTGTCATATGCATAGGTAGACATCAATATTAAATTGTATTAGCATCTTAAATTAACTTTTACGTTCATACAAGAAGCATACAAATGTTTAAGCATCCAATGTGAGTCAAAGAATATTGAATTTGAGGGACAGACAGATATTAAAATCCTAGCCAATACTGATAAGCCAACAATTCATTCCATTTAATTGCCGATAACTCATAAAAATACAACACTAATCACTTGTTTTAAACGCTTATTAAATGAACTGTTTCTAAAGATTAGTTTTAAGTGAGAGTAAGATGAAAGCAAGCATGAACAAACATGAACATTTAAATATTGACCAATACCTGTAAAACATGTAATCTCTAACATCAAGTAACTGACATTCAGTATTGCGCAACCTTACTGAATCCATAAGTTAATTTTATGGTCTTGTGATGGAATGGTACAATGAAACCATTTAGTCAATTTCAGTTTTGCCAGAAAAGTCGTAAAGATCTATACAATTTGTATATAAGCTATACATAAGTAAAATGTTTTTAGATGCTGCCAGTATGCTGATAATGTACATTGCAGTATCTATCGAAATACACAAAAACATTTGTGTACAATTTATGTACAACATTTCTGAGCAATTCAGTTTTATTGTCACTGAAATGCTCCACAAAGAACACCTCTCAAAAGAATATTTTTCTTCTATGAATCTTTATTAGTTTTCAGAGTGTTAACCTCTGCTTTTATGAGAAAAAAAAATACCACAGATACCGATGGGTAATATGACCTTATCGGTTATAATAAGCTACACCAACCCCCTAACGCGTGTGAGAAAGCTGAAATGAAAGCAGACAGTTGAGACAACAGGACATGACACAATGCAATTGAGCAAGGACGGATGTAGACTATTTTCACCATTGGCCTGAGACTCTCACATATCAAGCTTTATGTGTACTCAGTTAACTTCGAAATGCTTTTGCATGTTTCCTGTCTTTTCAACACCTGCCCTTGCAAACAAAACCACAAACAATGAGTCACAAAGCAGAAGGCCCTGTAGATGTAAGCTCAAATCGCTGAATTAAGATTGTAATCAAGGTAATAATTTCCTATGATATTTTTCATGTGTAGGCAGTTTGTGCCTTCTTGTAATTCCATATACTGTATAGGTGGTGGAAACAACCAGTGTATTAAGGTGTTAAGGTCACATTAGCAAAATTTCGGGGGCAAAAAAAGGTCAGTTATCTAGTGTAGCGATCTTTGAAGCACAGCCCACACAGAAGCCACTTTCAAACCAAGCAGCTTTGTGTGGGTCAACATGGTGAATCTGCACAACCAACTTGAACTTGTTGTGAAATCTGCATGGGAAATCTTTCACCCTCACTCGATACTTCCAATCTCTAAGATTCCTATTGAAACAACTGGATTTTGCTCGCCAAATTTGCAGAACATTGATAAATGTGACTGAACTTTTAGGCTAATTATGTAGATATACCAGATTTCAATCCAGTGCTTAAGACTACCTGTCTTACCTGACTATGTCTGGACTCTCCGTATTTGCCGTTAAGGTTTGCCCGATGACAGTTTTTGTACCACCAGGCTCCCTTGTAGGACAATGCACAGTTGGTGACAGCGATATCATTGTCCTTGTCCTTGGTAGAGAAAGGTCTGCTCTGGTGGTAGCTTAGAGAGTCACCTGAAGTAAAACGAGAACATAATTACAACTAATAGGCTTAAATATCCAAAACCACTCTGAAGAGATCATCTCTGGGGTGTTTTAAATGATTAAATGAATCAAAAACAAGTTATTTCCCTATCAGTGTATGTAAAATGAATGCCCAATTGTCCTCCAGCCGCACCTGCAGTGCCATTATACTCTCCTATCCTCAGTTTGTAGAGGCTCTTGGAATCTCCAATGGAAAACCTGTCATAGTTGGCATATACAGACTCCTGGCCATCTTTCATGTCAATGCGGAGCTCATAACGACCTTGAGCTGCAATCTTCTGAATGTTGTCCAAGGCTGGAGAAAAGGGGGGGGGGGGGAGGGGGGGAGAAAAAAAACACGTTCTACCATCCATTCCATCTCACCCCTGTGTTCCAGCCCCTTAACATGTGAAAATGTTGTCTTCAAATATGGTCCACACTGATAAGAGCCCATAATTTAATATAAAAGCTTTGCTCCTGTTTGGTGGTCCATCTAACTTTCTCTGACTCTTATATGTTGTGAAGATAAGGAGCAAAAGACTGTAGATAAACAGCCTGTTTATTGAAGATAATCACATTTTCTGACTGTGCAGTGGAGAAACGTCCTGTCTGGCTAAAGACACAATCACTTTTTGATAGCGTAGATGACTCCTGATAATAAAACTTCATCCATTTCGTGAGTATCTACACGGATGTGCCGTAACTCTGAACTGTAGCTAATGCTTAAAACAGTGCCAGTGGGATAATAAAAATGTGCTGTGTGCTGTTAAAGTGCAGTAAAATGGTAATAAAAGTGATATGATTCTATAATATTTTAGATATCATTCTGTGTGATGTCTGGCTGATTTTAATCAAATAAAAAAACATTATCTTGCTGATATTGTACTGATTGGGTTACTAAAAGAAATGGTGTGCATGCTGCTATTTAATGAGGATTTTTATTTTTTAAACTAATCTCATTACAACAATGGCCACCTTTAAATATGCTCTTTGACCATGTCTGGTAATTCAGATCTCTTCCCCTCACCGTTACAGTTCATCACCTTTCTGATTCCCAGGTTCATCCTGTGGCATTAAATCCTGAAGTAAGTTTATTAACCTAACAACATTTTGTTAGATTTATGCTTAAAACAGGAATAGACTATTTTCCAAAGAAACAATCAACATGATAATAATAATAATAATAATAATAAAAAAAAGAAAAATAATAATAATGATAATAAAAGAATGAGTATAACCAATACAACATACAAAAATAATAATAAATAAATAAAAAATAAAATAAAGTAAAAATAAAAAAATAAAAAAACAA